TTGGTTCTTTCAAATAAGACAGGTACATGGAAAAAGCCTCCTATAATTAAATAATTGATTTGTCTAACATGTGTTCTAAAGGCATGAGTTCACATTTATTAATTAGGGTATTTTTAATTAATTTTACACAAATTTTCATATTAAATTCATTATTTTTTATAGATTTTGAAGGTAAATATTATATTATATTTTCTTTGAATCATGCATAAAAATTTATACAAAATTAATTACAAATATTGCAATTAATAAGGTTTAACTTCTGCCTTAAGGGCACAGGATAGGAAATCCCTTAAATAATATCTTAATAACTCTGTTTCATGATTCCTATTAAGAGAGAGTGCAGACAGTTCTCTCAATGCTCTCTTTTGTGTGCACCATGGTGCCAGCTGGTTTTCCTTAGAAGCCTTTCCTCTATCGTTTGGTAATTTATTCTCACCGTGCAAGAGATTAAGAGCTGTTGAGTAATATAGATGTTTTTGGTGATGGATCTTGGACAACAGAATAAGTAGGACTGAAGTCTCTAATCAATCCAACAAGCACACAGTGTTTGGCAAGAACAGGATGAATTTGATGGGAAGATAAAACATGGTTTGATTTTGACGAGGAATGATCCAATATAAGAAGGTTTTCGAGCTGTGTTCCTCTCGTGCCATTGTAAATCGGACTAAAACTTACAGCAAATATCTACTTTTAACTTTTTACCTTAATAAATTTGTAAGTTTTAACCCCTCGTTTTATACTATAACACTTTTAACGTCTCACCTATATGAATTAAAGAAAATAACCCTTACTTAACGTCATATTATAATGTTTTGTTAGTTTTGTTAGTTTTGTTAAGTGATTGATAGTTCTGTTAACTGACTATTAGTTTTGTTAGTTAACTGTTAATTCTATTAACTGACTATTGACATTCTATTAACGAAACTAACAAATACAATTGAATTTAAATTCCATAGTTTTTTATAACATTTTGCTAATAATCAGTTAATAGAGATAATAGTCATTTAACAAAACTAATAATCAGTTAACAAGACATTAAATAAGGGTTATTTTCTTTAATTCACATAAGTAATATGTTAAAAGTATTATAGTATAAGGTCAAAAGTTAAAACTTACAAATTGATTAAAATAAAGGGTTAAAAGTATGTTTTTGCCAAAACTTACAAACTAAGTTTACTTTTTGGGGGGCATGAGGAAATTAATTTTTTAGGTGTCTTTTCAGGATTTTTGGGAATGTTTCCCTGGGTTTTATTGCCTCTCTTTTACTTGTATCACACAGATAATTCTGATAATTTTTTTTTTTAACAGGCAATTGTGGAATAGATTTTGTTTAGTATTTAACTTTTTTACATAAATGCCATTTGACTTACGTGATCATCTTTTGTCCTCTTAACTTATAGTATATTATGATTTCTTAACTATTTTCCTGTGCATAACTCTGTGATTAAAGCTTTGAATTGACCAAATGTTTGTGTTTATGAAGTTCTCTTTTATTTGTTTCATGGTAACATTAGGTCAAAGATATGCGACTCCTAAGGTGATTGATGATTTTTTTTTTTTTTTTATAAGGATAATGGTTAGTAGGTTAGTATTGTTAGATGTTAGCAACTGGGGATTCGATCCCCAAATTTGGTGAACAGTCCACTTACCTCATGAGGCGTGCGGCCATCCGACCGCTTGGTGGAGTTGCCTAAGGTGATTGATTGTTTGATGCAATTTTTGGCATGTTGAAGGGAAAAGAAGAATCTTTTGTAATAGTGTGTCTTCCTTACCGTGTTCCCACTGGGCAAAACATAACTTATCACTGTGTGATTTTGAGATGGCTATGCCGTATGTAATGTCATTTAAATTACTCTATTAAGCGGCCTGTTGGTAAGTCCAACAACTTGAAAGTTACAACAGATCTGCTTAGTTATCAAAGATTTTTGGTTATGCATAATCAACAAGTTTTTGTACTTGTGAACTATAATATATTATGCTCTTTCTGTTTGGTTGAGATGACTTTCGTTCTCATGGTTTATGTTTCTGAAGTCCTTTGGTGATTATCTAGTTTGTCATCTTAAATCCTGCTTTTCTGCTTGCAGGTTAAACTTGTAAAGTGTCTGGTACAGGACATTGTAGTAAATATCTCTTTCAATCAGTTGGGAGGGCTGTGTACTCTATGCTTCCTTGAGCAGGTGCACTGCACTAAAAAATAAATGCTTGAATGAATTAATTAGATATTTTGTTATGTTTACTTAATTGATAGACTAACTGGAAGCTCCATTAAGTTAAAGATACATTTCCTCCTCCTGACTATTCTACAGGTTGACCGTCTAATTGGAAAAGGTAATCTCTTTAAACGCAGTATTATAGTCATCAAAGCATGGTGTTATTATGAAAGCCGTATTCTTGGCGCTCATCATGGCTTGATTTCTACATATGCGTTGGAGACTTTGGTCCTTTATATCTTCCATTTATTCCATTCATCATTGGACGGTCCTTTAGCGGTGACGGCTGTAGAAATTTCGGTTATGTTAACAAATTTATCAAATAAATTCAATTCATGAAATATTTTCACTCTACAGGTTTTATACAAATTTCTGGAGTACTTTAGCAAATCTGATTTGGACAACTACTGTGTCAGTTTAAATGGTCCAATCCGTATATCCTCCTTGCCAGAACTTGTGGGTTAGTAATCTAACAATTTTTTACTTTCATGATTGTTCTATTTTCTGCTTGATTGAAATAGTAACCCCTTTGATCCTTTTGTAGTTGAGACACCTGAAAATGGTGGGGTTGATCTTCTTCTTGGCAATGACTTTCTCAAGGAGTGTCTAGAAATGTTCTCACTGCCTTCAAAGGGATTTGAGACTAATTTACGTACATTCGGCCAGAAGCATCTTAACATAGTCGATCCACTTAAAGAAAATAATAATCTTGGCTGCAGTGTTAGCAAGGGCAGGCTAGGCCTACTTTCTTTGTTCATTTGGCTTCCGCTTTCCTTAGCATTGTTTGATTTAATATAATGGTTTTGCTTTGTTATCTAGCTGCCTATAAGGTAATTTCATCCCGTATCGTGCACAGGAAACTTCTATCATATAAGAAGTGCTTTCATTTATGGGGCTCGAAAGCTGCGGCACATTCTTTTCCAAGCAGAAGAAAACATAGGCGAAGAACTTCGTAAATTTTTCCAGAACACTTTGGATGGGCATGGAAGTGGACAATTTCTCTGGGAAAGAAGTTCCCAAATTTGAAAAGCTTAAAATCAAAGTAAAGAAATAAAAGAAAAGAAAACGTTCAAATTAAATCTAGAATTAACCAACTTTGATATTAATTAAATCAACAATCTCCGGCAACAGCGCCTAAAACTTGATGCACTAAAATCACCCTAACAAATGTACTAGTCGCTCCAAGTAATATAATGACGAGAGAGTGTCGAACTCACGGGGATTGTGTCTAATTAAGTACCAAAACAATTAATCTAAATTTATTTGAATAATCGAAAAGATGGAATTTTAATTAAAATACAAAAAGAAACTAACAATTAAAATAAAACTAACCAAGATATGAAATACTAAGACATTGACTTCACCATAATCAATCAATATAAATTCTGAATTACCAAATTTTTGAATATTATTGCATGTGATGGCGGATTTCCCTAAATCAATTAACTAGCTTTATCCAGTCAAGTTAATCATTCATTGGTTTGTTAAATTAATCATATCTCTATGTAATTTTAAACAAACTAATGAGCATTAGATTTTATGGAAACCTCTAGCTTAAGAAGGGGGAGCTACTAACTCTCTTCTCTTCCTCCACTACCACATGTGAGCTAATTATCTCTCGGTCTCATAGTCTAGCACACGGTTTATATTATTATTGGTCTAATCTACGCAATTCTTTCTCAAGTTTATGCATAAATCACTAAATCAATTGAAAGATGATCAGGCTTCCAATGCATTAAGTTCAATAATATAAACTCCTCACGCGAATAACTTTAATTGAAAGAATAAAATCACAAAATCCATATTAAATTGATTAGGCTACATTATAGCCCTAGTAGAATAAATCAGTTCATAATAAAAATAATAAAATATTAAATCAAAATTATGAACATTCAAATATCAAACAATAGATAAAAACCCAAGGAAAAACAAAACCTAATTTGAGGAACTCAAACTCCTTGATCTTCTATTGTTGAATCCTTTCTCTTGATCTTCAAGAATGCCCAAAAGAGGGCTGTCACCAGCCTCTCCAAACTCTTCTAATTCTGAATTTGGATGAGTATTTATAGGATTTTAGAAACCCTAATTGAAATAGAAGTAGGACTTGGAACAGAAATAGGAAACTGAATTTTGGATGCTGATCGCGTGGTACTGACACTTCGGATTATGTGTTGACACAAAATAGGAAACAGTATCTGATTCTGGACTTTTAACGCATGGTGTCGACACCCCGATCATGTGTCGACACTACACCCGTGTCGGGTTTTTGGCCTCCTTTTGCAATTTCTTCAATGGTAAAATGACAGAATTGGTTCCTGACTTCTGGATTCTGCACAAGTTGATCCTCAAGTCTCTGATCTCTTTAATTTACTTCTAAAAAGTATGATTTCTTTCAATTAAATCCTTTCCTATACAAAGAATGGAAACCATGTAAAATCAAACAAAATCCCATAAAACTCATCCAAATATCAATAAAATCAAAGTAAAAATTCCCTATTAATATATATATAAATTTAGCTCATCAGTTACATTGGAGAGAAGTTTCCCTTATGCATGGAGAAGGGTGTCAATTTCTCTGGTGATTCATTTGTATTCAATAATCTGTTGAAATTTAAATTATGGGGTTGTGATGAATGTATGGATATTCCTAGTTTGGGATTTTTGCCTAATCTCCAAGCTCTTAATATTGTAAGTATGAAAAAGGTGAAACGTATGGGCAGCAAGTTTTATCTTTAACAGAAGCAACATTGCAAGTAGTAGCCATGGTGCAGGCGAAGCAATCACAATGTTCCCTGCTGTGAAAAATCTCATTATAGGTAACATGGGAAGCCTAAGAGGAATGGGCAGAAATAGAAGGAATAATTGCGTCTCCTTGCCTTGAGGTTTTGGAAATTTGAAACTGTCCTAAGTTGAAGACTTGGTTGATCGGAGGATTTGCATGTCAGCAGAAGCTTTCTAAGGTTGAGATGTATAATTGTTCGAGTCTAGTGGCTATCCCAGACGTAGATGGGCAGATCTCTTTTTTTTTTTTTTTTT